AGCGGCAATCCCAATCCAGAATTTCAGCATTTTATTATGGTTGCTAGGCCAGCCATATACATATATTTCTAATAAAAGTTTTTAGGAACATGCATAATACTAAAGATGGAAAAATAAAAAGATTAGAATTTGAAACCTAATTAAAATACAGTTTCCATAACATCAGTATCAGTGCTCAAAATGTAGCTACTTGATAAGTGATCTTAGAGTTCTTATCAGATAAAAGGTGATCAAGTCTGGCTTTGTTTGTGCAACCAGGAATCTTATCCAGCAATGGAGTTATGATCTCCAAATGAGCCTCCTTATAATATGGGCAACTAAAGAACATATGCTCAATGGACTTGAGCTCCCTTAATGGGCATGTACATAACCTTTCTAGGTAAGGGATTTTCTTATACCTGCCTTCAAGCACTGCAGAGGGGAGTGAAGAACTCCTTGCTGGGGTCAGCACCCTTCTAAAACTGTTTACTTCCGAAGAATTCCTCTGCACTCTCGCACTAGGCTGGCACCCTGGTATACCCAGGAGTTGCGGCTGATGAAGTGAGAGCTAAGATGGCTAGAGAGATGGTGGCAGCGCACCCACGATGAAGCTGCAAGAGCATCTTATAGGATGTTTATGAGATCCTATGAGATGGCAGTCAAAGTTGCGAAGAAAGAGTACTATGCAGCGTCGATTGCATCTGCGAGCTCACAGCCAGCCCAATTATTTAAAACAATTCAGTCGATGATGACTCTGCCAGAGGGCAGGTCAAATGCTAGGGAACTGGATATTGGCTGTGAAGTCTTTTCGAGCTATTTCGCAGATAAAATCTTGTCACTATGCTGTGACCTCCCTGCCATGCTTGAAACAGTAAATGAACTCAAGGCTCCATGCACATCTTCTGGTCAGGTTTTGGATTATTTCAGTCTGCTCAGCCTCGAGGAAGTCGACAAATTGCTCTTTACTGTACACCCTACCGTGTGTCTCCTTGATCTCTGCCCATCGTGGCTCATTAAAGCAGGTTGTGATGGGTTTCAAGGTGCCTAAGGGAGATTATTAACAAGTCTCTCTTGGAGGGTGTGTTCCCTGGGACACTTAAGAAAGCTGTGGTCCATCCCCTCCTGAAAAAACCATCATTGGATCCAGCTGAATTGGCTAACTACCAGTTTCCAATTTGCCCTATATGGGCAAGTTAATTGAGAGGGCTGTGGCAGTTCAGTTACAGAGCTTTTTGGATGATGCTTCCATTCTAGACCCCTTCCAGTCTGGGTTCCACCTGGGACATGGGATGGAGACAGCACTGCTCGCCCTCACAGACAATCTTTGGAGGCATCTGGATTGAGGCAGACTGACAGTGCTGTTGTTGTTGGACCTGTAGGCAGTGTTCGACACAGTTGACCATCAACTACTGATCCACCGCCTTGCCGACACTGGAGTTCAGGGGCTCACAATGGCTCGCATCCTTTCTCCAGGGTTGGGGACAAAGGGTGGTGCTAGGGGAACAGCTGTCCCAAAGGCACCCACTGATTTGTGGAGTGCCCCAAGGGTCGGTACTCTCCCCAATGTTATTTAACATCTATATGTGCCCCCTTGCCAGATTCCCAGAGGCATGGGCTGGGATGTCACCAGTAGGTGGATGACACCCAGCTCTATCTGTTGTTGGGTAGCCAGTCTGACTCTACACTGGAAGATCTGGACCAGGCGTTGCAGGCTGTGGCTGGTTGGCTTAAACTGAGTTGATTGATGGAGGTCCTGTGCCTGAGTCGAGGCAGCCCGAGGGTAGTGGATCCGCCGATGGGGCTCCGCTCGTGCCAGCACCAGAGGTTAGGAGCTTGGGAGTGCTCTTGGATGCCTCCTTAACAATGGAGGCCCAGGTAGCAGCCACTGCCAAATTGGCCTTTTATCATCTTCGGCTGATCAGGCAGCTGGTTCCCTTCCTTGAATGTAATGACTTGGCGACAGTGATCCATGCGATGGACACCTCAAGATTGGACTACTGCAAAGCTCTCTACATAGGGCTGCCCTTGTCTCAAATACGGAAGCTGCAGTTAGTGCAGAATGCAGCGGCCAGACTGCTGAAGGGTATCCCCATGTGGAACCACATCCAGCTGGTACTGAAAGCACTGAACTGGCTGCCAATAGCATACTGGGTTCATTTCAAGGTGCTGGTTTTAACCTTTAAAGCCCTATATGGTCAGGGTCCTGCATACCCGAGGGACCGCCTTTCCCCACATGTTCCCCGGAGAGAACTGCGCTCAGGGGCACAAAATCGGTTGGCCCTTCCAGGCCCTAGGGATATAAGACTGGTGGCTACCAGGGCCAGGGCCTTCTCGGTGGTGGCTCCATTCTGGTGGAATGAGCTCCCAGAAGAGATCAGGGCCCTGCGGGACCTTTTACTGTTCCGCAGGGCCTGCAAGACGGAGCTCTTCCACTAGGTGTTTCACTAAGTAGTCACACTATAAACCAAGGAGGGTGCCTGTGCCCTGGCTGCCATCTTTGCTTCCAGCCTGTGCCCTGAGTCCTACCATCATTGTCTTCAGCCTAGGCCTGCCACACAATAACGAGAGCCAAGCTGGTGTAAAAGTATAATCACCTAACAGTTGCCTAAGCCATGCCATAAAGAATTGCTGTTCTTATTACTTGATATGTTCCAGCGTTTACATGTTTATGTTTTAAATTGACTGTTATTTTAAGTTATTTTATATGCTTATGATGTTTAATTGTATTTCTTATTGTATTTATGAATGTTGTAAGCCACCCTGAGCCCAACTTGGTGGGGAGGGCGGGATATTAATCAAGTTCTTCTTCTTCTTCTTCTTCTTCTTCTTCTTCTTCTTCTTCTTCTTCTTCTTCTTCATCATCATCATCTGTTGGAACAACAGTATATTTGACATTTGACAGTGCAATAAGGTTTGGAACACTGGCAATGTCAGGTTGGCATTCTATATCTTCAATTCTCTGCTTAATTAGCCTTCTTGCTTGTACAATGCCACAAGATAAGAGTACCTGGGGAGAGAATCCAATTCTGTTGATATGTCTTTGAACAGCCTTGAGCCAATTAGATTAATACTTTTCTTGAAGTATCAAAGGGAACAGGCCTTGAGGGTTAAGATGACCTTTTAACCACATATAGATGGATAGGACAAGCACCCTGGCTTCAGCGCTTATAATACCTGTCTTGAGTCTAATCCAAGCATTGGATACACATCTAGGGACTTGTAGCATGGCTCTTAAAAACTTTGATTGCACTCTTTCTTGTGGATCAAAACATGAGACAGGCAGTCCTGAGATTGTTCCATATAGCAGTTGGCCTTATATAATTTAAGGGCTGCAGGATCAGAATGCCACCCATGAAGTAAAAGAAATTTCACGGTGGCATTTGCCAGTCTTTCTCACTGATCAGCAACATACTTGCTATGATTAGCCTAAGAGCCCGAAGCCTGTAAATCTACACCAAGATAATTACAACTATTGCCTTGCTCAACACTTGGAATTCACTGCCACAGGAAGTGGTGGCGGCTACAAGCATGGACGGCTTCAAAAGGGAATTAGATAAGCATATGGAGCAGAGGTCCATCAGTGGCTATTAGCCACAAGGTATAGATAGGGACTCTGGGGCAAGTGATGCTCTGTCATCTTGGTGCTTGGGGGGGTCAACAGTGGGAGGGCTTCTAATGTCCTGGCCCCACTGGTGGACCTCCTGATGGCACTGGTATTTCAGGCCACTGTGTGATACAGAGTGTTGGACTGGATGGGCCTTTGGCCTGATCCAACATTGGCATCTCTTATGTTCTTATGTTCTTATGTTAATCCGATTGCCATTAATCGCACAAGAACTAGGCTTAGGACTGCTCCTGAAAGCTACAATTTACAAGTAAGAAAATCTCTGTAATAAACTTTATATAGCTTCAAGTCTTCTACCAATACTAGCATGTGTTGATAGAAATCTTAATGCTATATTGAACTTGTGAATAAGAAGAGAAAGAAAGCAGTGTTTCTATTTCTGGATACAGAGAAAATGTTCAACTATTTAATATGGCATTTTAATTTAATGTATTACAAAACATGGATTCTGGTCCTGAATTCTAGAACTGGATGCGTGGTATATACCCAAATCAACAAGCAAAGATTTTAATTAACGGGAAATTAACAGAAGCAATTTTAATCGAAAATAGTACATATCAGGGATGTCTCCTATCACCTTATATTACCAATAGAGATTTTAGCTATAAAGATTGGACAAGATGATTGAAATAAGGGAATAAAAGCAGATTATGTAGAGTTTGAAATGAAAAGACGACGTGGTCTTAACAGTCCTGGTTCCCCAAAAATAGTTAAAACATGTAATGGAACATATTGATGTGGCTGTGGAAAGGTGGTTCTGCTCCTAAGTTTGTGGATATTTGTAAATTACATGCATTGTATTGGAATCACCCTAAAGGCTATCAGGATGTGCAACAGCAGAGACTGTAATCTGTATGAAAGACAGTTATATTTATTTAGAGTTTGGGAAAGTATGGTATGTGAAACTTCTATTTAGGTTTATAGCACAGTGGTGGAGATAAAGAAATAAGTTAGAGAGCTAGAAACAGTGGTCAGCAGTATTATTAAAGTATTAGAAAACTTTCTATATGTTATGTAATGAACATACAGCTGCATAGTTGTGATGTTTACCTTTTTCACTAGGAAAAAAACGTGTGTGTGTGTGTGTGTGTGTATATATATAGATGGGTAGGTTGGTAGGTAAGTAGGTAGGGATAGATAGATGGATGGATGGATAAATAGATGGATGGATGGATAAATAGATGGATAGATAGATAGATGATAGATAGATAGATAGATAGATAGATAGATAGATAGATGATGGATGGATGGATGGATGGATGGATGGATGGATGGATGGATGGTTGGTTCTCTTTTGGGGTTTCCAGCTGAATTTTTTTAATGTTCATTCTTCAGTAATGTTAACCACCTGTATGAGGAACTATAATGAACTGAAACTTGAAAAAGCAGAGAATATTCAAACATTTTGGTTCCTGTATTTCTTGTTCCTTAGGAGTTGATCTCTGCTATTGAGATCAGGCTTCAGAAGAATAATGTAGCATTTGGGAAGAAAGATGCAGCCCAGGAGACCAGCGCCAGAGGCCAAGATGGAGAAGACCTCCACGGCCACCATAGACGTCCCTTTAGTGCTCAGGTACGTGGGTACGAAGGAGACCCACACGCTGCAGAAGACCAGCATGCTGAAGGTGATAAACTTGGCTTCATTAAAGCTGTTGGGTAGTTTCCTGGCGAGGAAAGCCACCATGAAGCTGACCAGGGCCAGAAATCCCATGTATCCCAGGACTGTGTAAAACATGATGACTGACCCTTCATTACATTCCACAATGGTCTCTTTGGCCAAGGAGTGGAAGTCCAAGTTGGGGAATGGGGGAGAGGTCCCTAGCCAAAGTGCAGAGGTAATAACCTGGAGGAGGGGACAGGCCAGGACAATGAAGTTTACTCCTTGTCTCCCCAACAGTTCCCTTGCCATGTTTCCGGGCTTAGTGGCCATGAAGGCCACAACCACCATGATAGTTTTTGCCAAGATGGACGAAATGGCAACAGAGAAGATTACAGTAAAAGCAATTTGTCTCAGAAGGCAGGTGAACTTTGTAGGTCGACCAATGAATAGGAAGGAGGAGAGGAAGCAGAGCAGGAGGGAGATGAGGAGGACATAGGTGAGTTTTCTGTTGTTGGCTTTGACAATGGGTGTGTCTCGATATTTAATGACAGTTGCCAGGACTAGGGCTGTGATCAGAGACAGCAAAAGAGCAAGAGAAGCCAAAACAATCCCCAAAATCTCCTGATAGGAAAGGAAGCTTATGTTCTTGGAGATACATTGGTATTTGTTCTTGTTTGGATATTGATCTTCTGAACATGGGACACAATGATCAGCATCTGGAACAAACAACCATGAATTAATTAATTCCAGCACAACACAAAATGTTTGTGTAGTATTCAGTGAGCCCTTATCTAAGGAGATGGAATGACACAGTTGTCCAGCTAGTGGTTCTCATGCTATGGGTCAGAAGCTGCAAGTGGATCACAACTTCTCCCTGGAGGGAGAAGGAGAAACAGGGAATCTGGGACAGGACACTCAGTGGTAAGACTGAGTTTCTTGCTGCATAATATCTGTGAAATATAGCCTGTTGTGCAATAATAATATTATACATTTATAATCGTGCTACATAGAATAGAAACAGGTTCGCTGTTAACTTATGAACGATTCTGACATTCTAACTTGAGGAGGAAGGAAGTAGGATGAAGTTACACTCCAAGTGGGTCCTAAAAAGGACACCTTTGTAGAAGTGGGTCCCTTTTCAAAATCTTTCAGAATGACTAGTGTCAATTTCAAGGTGCAAATTCCCTTTTATGTCCCTCTGTTTCTACTTCTGCAACTTAGTTGAGAAGAATTCTGCATAAGAAATGTGTGATAAAGGCAAACAACTATTTGAAATTCACACCTCAGAGGTTCAAATCTAAACATCAGAAAGACTTTCTAGAAGAGAAAGAATTATCCAGATTATATTCCAAAACTGAATTTAGTGGAGAAGGGAGAAATTCTTTCAAAGTTTGTATTAGAGAATCTTTTCATTATGCAGATTGTGGTTGGCTATCAGTGGTAGTGTCAGGGCTGAACATTGCATGGACCCCAAAAGAAAGCTGTAGCTCTTTGTCTGAGGTATACATGATGATCTAAAGAAGCAGGCATAAATCCGTAACTCCAGAGTCTCAACCTAAGTGATGTTTACAGCCCTTGGGGTATCGATATGTTGAACTACCTGTGTGGTTAGAAATCGTCCCTTCTGGACAAAGTTCACATTCATAACAACAAGGTGGCTCTTGTTCTATAACTTTTCTGCTGTACCCTGGCAAGCAGCTCTCCACACACCTGGAAGAGGGCAGCTTCTAAATGGAAGAAAGAAGAACTGGTGAGATTTCCCAAATGAGTGGGGTTGTTTCCACACCCTGATGACTTTCCAAGGAGCTCTTTAGGGATGGGCATGAACCAGGAAAATGCATTTTGGTTGCTGGTTTGTGGTGTGCCTGTTAGCGAACCACGGACTTCCATGAACTTTTAACCACTTCATGAACTGGTTTGGTTTGTGAGGTCCATGAGGTGATACAATGCCCCCCCCCCCGCTTGCTAGAGACACCAAACTTTCAAGGTATTGCCAGATAACTGTTCAATGTGCCCTCCAAGTCTTGTGAGGATTGGTGAGGACCGGATTTATGACCCATGTTACGACGACGCCCCAAATAAGGTGCCCCAGGAAAGTGCTTGTCATTTCCCCAGTAAGCCCTTTCCTGGGGGCACCTTTTTGAAGGGCCATAACTTGGCCCCCGTGTATCCAATCCTCACCAAACATGGAGGGCAGGCAGAGGAAAGTTATCTGGAGAACCTCTGCACATTTGGAGCCTCTAGCTTGCACAGGATCTGTTCTACACACTCCTGAACCTGCATCTGCCAAATGATCCAGGAGGCTTGGGAGTGTATAGAATGGACCCTGTGCAAGCTAGAGACATCAAAGTCACAGAGGACCTCCCCTGGATGCTCCTCTACATGCCTTCCAAGTTGTTGCTTTGAAGTTATTTAAGTCTGGCTGGAAATGTCTCTGCTCACGAATTGCACTAACCTCCACAAACATTTTGAAAGTTCATACTGGATGACCGGCCATGAACTTGACTTTGTGAACCATGGACTGACCAGAATTTGCCACAAACATTAGTTTGCGCCATCTCTAGAGCTCTCATTCTTGCTGTGAATGCGGAGACACATACATCACAATACAGTAGTTTCCCCCAACAGTTTTATCTTGACTCAACCTGGAATGACTTTCTTTCATTAAAAGACTACTGAAAGGGGTTTTCTTTGGCATGGTGAAATGAATCATCAGTTAAGCAGGATGAGATCTTTCTAGGAAATATACAACCAGTAAAACAGAGCTTCAGGATGAAAAAGTACATTATTCTGGAGACCAATATCTGAACAAAGCTGGCCTTTAGTCAGTTCTATCAGCAAATTTCTCTACTATTACCCAAGAATATTGACTTCTTCCCCACCTGGGTAGCCCAAACAATTGCATCTGTGTTAATGATGAATTCTCTGCCTGGGGGGGCCCTAGGATCCATCCTTCCAACTTTCACTTGAGCTGAAGATTGATTTGGGAAGAAAGCCAAGTTCAGAATGTCATAGCCAGCTGATCTCTTGTCATTTTCACTGAAAAACACTTCCTCACCAGCACTGTTGTTGAACTGAGTGCTCCTCAAAGAGGCAAGGATCTGAAATGAAAGAGATCCTAAGAAAATGATGTAACCAGTTAAGACCACTAGTGTGGCTGGTTGCAGGTTTTGGTGGGCTCTGGGCATAGAGTTCCCAAGATCCCCTTTCCCTCCAACATCAGACCCCCTGGTTATGCACTCCCCTCCATCTGCATGCCAATCACCTGCCTGTATATCTTGCCCCTACCCAGTTGCCAACTCTTCCATTGCCTAAGATCACAGCTGCCTGACCACCGGCAGCCCTTTCCCTGGGAATGGTAGTGTGTGTAGCTGGGAGCATGGGTTGCTAGCAAGAGATTGCTTGGGGGTGAGGGGTTGACAGCAGTGGGTCAGAAACACTGGGCCCTTGCGGCTGCCCCTCCTCAGGCTCCCAACTGGTAGGGGACTAGTCATTTGGACATTCTGTCTTGGCTACCACAAGAAGAGATGATGGCTTCTGTAAGTTGTTTCCTTAATGGAAAAGCCAAGGGTGAATTCTCAGTGGGCACTAATGATGAGGTGACTTCTTTATGTCTCTGAGTTGGGCTTCATCTCTCATGGTAGCTACTACCCATGACACACACTCCATATACTTGGATGGAGGCTGGAAGTAACTGGATTAGTGACAGTGCAGAAGTTTAAGATGGTGGATCTGGTTATCGAGAAAGAAACGGGAATGGGGGATGCATGTTCTCTGCATCTGAGTGGCTTTCCACAGTGCCCAGTGAGGTCCCCTCCTAATTTTGTATCTCTGAATGGGTGTAGTTCTCTCGCTAAGGGATGAGAAGCCAATGCTGATAGCGCTTCAGCTAAGTATGACCTTGCTAGCACAGGCTCAGTAACAGCAATGGGAGTCCAGGTGAATCCATGGATGGATGGCCATTGCTGACATGGCAATCAAGTCAGCCCATGAAATCAACATACTTCTACATGGGTGATCTGGTTTTATTGCACTGTTGATTGGATGTGGTGCATACTGTTCTAATTGCATTCTTTTCACTTGTGTAAGATAGTTTGAGTCTGTCTCGGCTACCACAAGAAAAGATGATGGGTTCTGTAAGTTGTTTCCTTGATGGAAAAGTCAAGGGTGAATTCTCAGTGGGCACTAATGACGAGGTGACTTCTTTATGTCTCTGTGTTGGGCTTCATCTCTCATGGTAGCTACTACCCATGACACACACTCCATATGCTTGGATGGAGGCTGGAAGCAACTGGATTAGTGACAGGGTCTGGTTATCGAGAAAGAAACTGGGGAATGGGGGATGCATGTTCTTTGCATCTGAGTGGCTTTCCATAGTGTCCAGTGAGGTCCCCTCCTAATTTTGTATCTCTGAATGGGTGCAGTTCTCTCGCTATGATGAGAAAGCCTAAGGGATGAGAAGCCAACCCAATGTTGACAGAGCTTCAGCCACGTATGACCTTGCTAGCACAGACTCACTAACAGCAGTGGGAGTCCAGGTGAATCCATGGATGGATGAATGGCCATAGCTGACAGGCTCAGTAACAGCAATGGGAGTCCAGGTGAATCCATGGATGGATGGCCATTGCTGACATGGCAATCAAGTCAGCCCATGAAATC